AATCTTTTCCAATCCTCCAAAACTTTCCTTCATGATTTAGGCACTTTCTAAATTACTAAAATTCTTGGAAGGGATAGTCTTAAATGTTACCTCCTTCTAAATTACTAAAATTCCCTTGGAAGGGAAGTCTTAAATGTTACCTCCTCCAGGAAGTCTCCCATGATGTTAGGTGCCCCTCCAATGTGCTCCCTTAGAGCCTCATGCTTAACCCAATCATAACACATCCCACCCCGAACTGTCTTGTTTTTTCATTAGTTGACCTTCCCCACTAAACTGTGATGTCTTTGGGGCCAAAAACTTCATCTCAGTCACACTGTACCACCAACCCTTAGCAGAGTACCTCATTCACAATAGGTGTTTAATAAATATATGTGAAATGAATGAAATTCATACTCATCTTTGTATCTTCCCACAGTTTTTATATGGTACCTTGAACACTGCAGGGACCAGATAAGTTTATTAAATGAGTAAATGAGCAGACAGATTAACTTTTGCATATGCTGAGTCATAATGATAGAAGTCTTAAACCAAACCAACCACTTTGGATGAAAATAATAATATGGCGAGGCATCTCAGTGACCCTACATTATAACTCTCTCACTCAGGCTATGCCCTTGTTTGGCTTTGGGCCAGCCCCAGGTCTGCAGCCTAATCATTCTATACTATATAAAAGAACTGACGAGGAAGAAATTGTCTAGCAAAACACCAACTGAAAGATAAATTACAATTTTGCCTTAATTCAAAGCCTAAGGTTGTCCTGGTTCTCTTTTGGGTTGATGCAGAGAAATCAGTTAGTCAGAGCATAATATAAACTTTGGTCATTTATAGCTCCAAAAATCTCCAACAGGATGTAGTTTGCCAAACTATTTCCTGCAATTCAAGTTCAATCAGAACTTGAATAAAATAAAAATAATTTTAATACATGAAATAATAAATAAATAAATTAAATAAGGATAAGATAAGCATGGTCACTAGCTGCTTCTCAACAGAAGATAGCGAGCCCATGGCTTACACTGAGGTGGCTCAATTCTGTGTGCATGGACCAGAGGCAAGTGCCACATGCAGGGCATTACATGTAATCAGGATTCAACACGTTGTTGATGCATTGACCATCACAGTGAGAATCAGCCACCGTCACAGCAACTCTACCATTTCCTGATGCAATCAAGTGATTGCTTGGTCATAGTTAGCACCCGCTGTAGTCCCTGCGCAGGCGACCTCTGTATCTGATGCCACAAGGAGAAATCCACCACTCCCCACCTCTCTTCTAATTTTTAAGATGTTCTTCCTTTCCTCCTCATCTACTTTCCTGGCCCATTACTCTTCTCTCAACTAATCTTTCTTTTTTTTTCATGTTCTCTCATCCTCCTATACCTAAGACCCAATAATGATACTCATACTGTAAGTATTGCTGAAATGAATTTTCCAGATCACTGACACTTACTCTTTTAAAAGCTAAAATACGTTTTAAAATTACTTTAACCATTTTGGCTGGGAGTTTTGAAAATGTGCCATTTTTTCTCTTTACTTCTTAACAAGGGTGTACACTCTAGAACTTGAAAGTTTCTTGACCATGCAGGCTCATCAATCTAAGCATCCCCTCAGGCACTTCTGAGAAGTATGGCCCTCTCTTCCCTGTACACACAGCTCCAGATGGCTGCATTGCCTATCTCGTTTCTATACTTCTAGATCTCCTCTGTCAGGAAAAGCTTTACTTTTTATCGCTGTCATTGTATCTCACTTTTGCCTTTCCCCTCGCACCCCCTAATATGCTGTGGGGTGGGTAGCCAGACAGGCAAACCTGTAGGAACCATGCGTCAGATAAGGTTTTACTGATATACGTTCACTGGTCTTTGAGTAGGGACCTAGGGCCTGTCCTGTGAGTAAAGTTCATTGGATTTGTGACAACAATTTCAAGAGCTCAGAGACCCTTTGTACTCAATTCTGGGTTTTTGAGATGTGTATTAAAAAAAAAGTAGACAGGAGTTTGCCCTCTGGATAGGTGGGGTATCACTGTCATATGTATTCGTGCAGAAACATTGTTTCCAGAACAGTTTGTATTCATGGTTTTAGGCCACACTATACTCGTGCCATCTATCATCATTCCTCATTTAAACTTCAGATAAAAAAAAAATGAGAGAAAAAGGCAAAATGCTGACATTTGCAAGTTAGAGATCATCATACAGAGTAGCTTCCTCAGATATCTCTGTGTGCTGCCCCTTCCTTTCCTGGCCTTTAACTTAGGACCCTCACGGCCCATAAACTAAGTGACATGCCATCATCACAAGTGCACCAGGTCAGTCTCCTTTCTCAGACACCATTAATACACCATTTTTTCAGTTTCTTAAAGTGGAACCTTGCTGTCATCAATGGCTCTTCCCTCAGTTTCCCCTTTTAAACCAGGTGATTTCAAGATTCTGGTGCATGTGGTTTATTCCACATCCAACATACATTTTACCTGCTTCTCACCCCAGCATGCTAAAATTCTAATTTCATGGCTCTTGCAGACTTCTACTTTCCAAACATCCCTCTCACCTCCCTTTACCCAAATCCATCCCAAATAATGTCCTACCCGTTCATCGCTGGGCTCTCAATCTCCACTTCCTGGACACTGTCATTGGTTAACTCTCAAAATATTTCTTGCTTTCATGTGAATGCTATATTTTCACCTTTAGTTCTTTTTATAGAACTTCTTACCACCCACCTCCTCCTGTTCAATCTTTACATTAGCACCTTCCAGTTTTATATGTTCCATATAGTTTTGCTGATAGAATTAAAGAAACATGTCAGAATTCTCTTTTTTCTCATCTGTGTACTCCAGAGTCCTTACCCTCATCACACCTTAATATTTTCAACTACCTCTTGAGAAGTTTTCTTGTCTAAACGCCTTAGAAGTCACTTCTCTCATTTAATTTACTCAACTATTTTCTCTTTTATATATTTCTCAAAATCTCTAGAGAAATAATTACCAGATTTTCTGTTGTGGTTGTTCCTTCTGCCCCCTCCTCCTTCTTCAGATTATAATTGTCAACAATAGCAGGACTGAACTTTTGAACATTTATATGATGGTGTGTACTGAGTTAAATAAATCCCATTCCTCAAACTGTGCAATTCCTTGGTGCCCTCTCACCAGTCCATTCTTCCACCTCTCCCATAGCTTTCAAATTTAGCCAATAGAATCCCCATTTCATGGTAAATAAACTCCCTTCTGCCTTCAACTCATTCAGAAAGACTTCCCTCTGGAAACTTGGGCCTCCCTTAAGGACGCTGCTAGACTCCTGACTCCTGCAGCCCTCTGGAAGGAAAGGACCAATTCCTCCCCAGGACAGATACCTCAGGGTCAGGAGTAGGGGAGGGTCTACTTCCTCCTCAGAGCCACTAACAGACCAACACTTTGCCAGCCTCAGGTAAAAGCCTCTCCTTCCAGGCTCAGGCCTCTGACTAGACTTCCTTTCCCTGCTCCGCATCTCTCGGTCCTGTAGCCAACTCATTTTACACACCTGCATTCCACGTCCTTAACCTCCTCATCTCCAATATTCTCTTTCACTCACTTCAGCCACTCACATTCTGGACTCCACCTTGGACCTGCTCATCTCCGAGGACTACTCCTCTTACAGCTTCCCACCCTTTCTGCTTCCTAAGGTCCTTGCCCCAGTCAGTCTGCTCCCTGATCTCAGAGAGCATGGCAGTCCTTCAATCCTCCCAGTTGATTCATCCACCCTGGCTTCTCTTCCTTCCCCACCCAGCTTGGATTCTGTGGTTGATCTCTGGAATTGCTCTTTTACCAGCACTCTCAGCTCCCTACCAGCAAACCTTTGTCTGGACTTCCTGACACCAACCTACTACCTGGGCAGCCTCCTACTTCCTCTGACTCTGCCCTCTGGCTACCATGCTCTAGATCCTTGCTTAGGCCTCCTGCAGTCTCAACAGAATCTCCTCCTAAGTGCCAGCTCCATTAATCCATTCCTGGTTTGGCCTGTTGCATTCCCTTCTAAGCTTCCATTCTGAATGAATGAAATGAAAACCTTGCATTTCTATTATAATTTATTACTTTAAAAAATGCTTTTGGATATTTATGTTATTTTAGCCACAAGACAACCTCTTATGGGGTGAAAGGTCAAGAATATTGCAGCCAAAAAAAAATTGAGGTTCATGGAGGTTATGTGGCTTGTTTAAGCTCTCATAGTCTCCAAAGAGTAGAATTGATTGGCCATCATAATAATCAGAATATATTTTCTTTCAACCCATCTGAGACACTTATACTGTGCCTAATTATTCAACATGCTAGTTGTGGGGATGACACATTAATCAAAAAGAGAGATAAAGGGGTACCACTGTGAAGGCAGGGGTCACTTCAGGATCAGTTTTCTACGTGCAGTTGTCCCAGAAGCAAATATTCAGGTTGCAACTGCAGGCTCAGAGAGAGAAATGAATCCAATCAAAGAGATGCAGAGAAACTCCATGCTGGCCAAGCTGCTTTATGCCCTATGTGTGGGCTCCCACAACCGAAACCCAACAAATGAAGAGGAGTCACAGCTCTGAAAGAGCAACTGAGCCCAGCAATGGTGAATCAGGGTAGAGAACTTACTATGGGGCACTCCTTTCATGCATAATTAGTGTGCACTGGAAGAGAAGACTGGTATGTGTTATGCTCACTTCTGAACAAAATAAAAATAAAAGTGCTCCCTTCCCATCCTGTGCCATCTAGACATTTATGATGTAATAAAGACCATAAATATAATCAGGTACAAATCCTAATGGATACACAGATAACAATAGTATTAAACAAAGATCCAAATTAAATTTTTAAAAAATTTTTATGAAATGTATATTAAAAAACCACAAAATATATGCCTCTACAAATCTTTGAGCCTCTTGGATAAAAACTGTTATATTACATCTGTATTTGTACATATCCCTAATAAAACTAATATCATTATCTACCCTAGGACTGCTCTCCCCCAATAAAAATGCAAATATTTAGTAAAATAATAATTTACCTTATAGAAGATCAAAAGAAGATCATCCAGTTTCCCATGCAAATCACCTGGAGTGCAAATAAAAATCACTAGTCAGTAGGAAACAAGAAAATGCCCATTTTGTTACAGATTTTTAAAATTGAAATACTGCTGATACACACCACACATTCTTGGGGCATTGGGTTTTTACCTTATGATGATAGTAATTCGATAGACAATTTGTTTCCATAGCACTCTATGGAAACTCTGTTCCCTTTCCTATAGGTAACAGCATCCAATATTGCAATTACCTGTTCACTCCTGCCATTCATGTAGTGTTTAGCTTCCTCTGTGCCAAGCACTGTGCTAAGGGTTTACATGAATTATCTTGTTCAATCCTTACAGCCACTCCATGAGATAGGTACTGTTTTCATCATTCTCATTTTACAAATGAGGCTCAGAGTAGTTAAGTAACTTATGCAATTTTACCCAGCTACCAAGTGTCAGAGTTGGAATTCAAACTCAACTTTATCTCACTTTAAAACTCAAGCTCTTACTGATTATTCTGTACAGCCTACACTGAAATCTCTAGGAGAGCAGCAATAGTCTCTATCTTAGTCAGCATTAAACCCCCAAGTGCTTCCATAGTACCTGGTGCATAGCAGGCACTCAATACATATGTTTAATTGCTAAATGCATAGCTTTTTAAAGCCATGACTTAAAGAATAAGCTCCAACAGTAGCATCTGAAATTTTAAAATTCTAAGTAGATAGTTGATATTCTTTTGATAAGACAGTTACAGGAAATACAAATGAAAGCATGGCTTCATAAAACTCAGCAAACTAAGGGAAACCATATAAATACATGAAGCCATTAATTAAAAAATCAGAGTGAATATTCAAAAGTCCTATTTGGATAATTATTTCTAGGTAAAATATCTGTCTTTCATAAGCTCTGGTCATAAATTTTTATTCTTTGTATCCAACTTAATTACCAAATAGAATTTAACCTGGGAATACCTTTCCTCATTTTGTTTAAAATCCCACAATCAAAATTAACCAAAGATATGCAACAGAAGACTCTAATTATAATGGGAATAATAAAATTAAAATCTTATATCACCAGCACATTTCTATAAAATGACTATAATATTAAGAGCATATTAATGCTACTGTATCCTTAAATCTCATTGCTTTCAAATAGTCTCATTCTAAATCTAAGGAAATAAAAATGGAAGGACTTTTTACTTATGAGTTAAATATATTTTTTAATTACTTTATTTTCCTAATTTTCCTCAGGATGACTCATCTTTCAAAGATTTGGGTAGATAGAACTGTTGCAGCTGGCATGCTAAAAAATGAATTTGTTTCAGCATATTAAGAGTTAAGGCTATAAAAATAATTTTAACTTCTAGTTGGACAGCGAAAGATAAAACTCAATGTATCATGGAAAGACAAGCACAGAAAAGTATTTCCACTGCAAACAAAAACACGAGTGCAGAGTTAGTTATCATTTATAACATAGTTGTACACTAAAACACCTCCTATATTTCATGCATGTTGAGAACTATGTAGCATGTTTAGATGTGCATGTGAAAAATGCATCTGGAAATTAAAATAATGGTAAAGTTTCATCACAATTTCTCTCCCTTTCCTAATACTGCCTTAAACAGAAGATGTTTTTAAAAATATGGCCCCAATTTTAGATTTTATTTTAAATGATAATCAAATTTTTCTAAGTTCAATGGGGCTATTAAAGACAGAAAATAATAATTCCCACACTAAGGGAACCTACCGGCCTGGCTTTTCCCTCTACCAATAGTGCTACATAGAAAAAGTCTGGAAATAAATGCCCAAGAAGTGGGGATTTTTAAATGAATGGAACTGTCTAATTAATCCATTCCCTAGTCTTTGTCTCATGATGAAAAATGAAATATCAGTCAGCGAAATGCATGATGGGAGTTGGGATAACAGATATGGGGGCTAGCTCTAACCTGGGAGGCAGAGGACCTGATTTTTAATTCTGACCCTGCCGCTAACTAGCTGAGTGAGCTTGGGAGGGGGGGGGAGTTACTACATAGAAATGCATGGAAGGCAATACACATTTCTCTCTGGGCCTCAATTTCATCTGTAAGAGCAAGCGATAGACCAGATGGTCTCTGTAAGAACCCTTCGGTTCTTATACTGTGTGATTCCAGGACTTTCATGCCCTCTAATTAATTTATGTCTTCTTCCAGATCCTTTTATCCAAAGACACATCTACAGTGGCAACTGGAGGTATACTGGAAACATGTGGGAGCAGATCTCACTCTCTGTTTGGCCTATTATATACACCCTGATAGCAAATTTAGCCCTGGGTCCATAGGCTTTGTGGGTTGGCATAGTTTCCTGAGCCTCAAGACCCTAAATTCTTTATCTTCATGAAAAGTAAGAGTTGGTGAGGACTTGAATAAAAGGCCCCCACTGCTGAGATGCATCATCTGCTAGACAGAGATGTGGTGGCCTAATTAGGTTGGAATTGAACCATTAAAGACTCTTCAAAAGTCTAAGTCAGGGCATGTCATGGAGCATGTACTGCTACATCAAGTCCCTGCCACCACTATCAGATGCTAGAAATGGAAATGGTTTAATTAGATTGTCAAATCCACTTCTACCTGCCAGAGTAAAAGAAACACGGGCTAAAAATTGATTTGGAAAATAACAATCACTGTTTTGTAACCTAAAGGCTTAATTAGAAGTTAAGAGAATTGCTGTTCCTTCCACGCACTCCATTCTCAGACAGTTGCGAGCATGCTGAGCACCAACTGTGTTGAATTTCAATGTGTACTGTTTCTTGAAGCAATATCCTGCCAGGCTGGCCTATATGATAACAAAATCTCAAATCTTGTTATTTAAAAGAACAAGGAACAGATTTCTGGGACATTCCCACTCTTCTAAAAACTGCAGGGACCAGTTGGTAAAATCTAAAACAGCAGCCAAGGGCAGAGAAGAGTTTAATCTCCACCCTGCCTTGGGCTTTTGTCTTCCCAGCACAAGTGGCATGCAGAGGCCCACCTAGAAAAAGCAACATGGAACAAAGATAATGAGAGCTAGACGAAGGGCAAAGAACACTTATCCCACCCATGGGTGGTTTTCCATATTAAAATGCTGCCTGCCTTTATAAAAAGCTATGAGTTCTTTAATTTCTCACATAATTAATTCCTGCCAGCTGGTATGCAAAACAAAGACAAGATGGGGAACAGTATTATAATGATAGATAATGCTATACTAACACTTTTCCCTTAATACAGTCCAATTTACACAGTTTTCAAGTTAGGCAAATGACGTAGAACCAAGAGACTCCTAAATATTATTTGGCATCTCTGCTCTGAAACTTACCACAGACTGTTATCTGTTTGGAGGGAGAAGTTTTTACGTGAGTGAAATTCGGCATTTGCTTCAGGACTTTCTTGCTTTCAAATAGCACTTCTAAGACATAATAAGCATGAAGTATCTGTGAAGGCAAAGCAGAGGAAACAGACATAATGAACTAGGAAGGAATGCACGACTGTGTAGAAAGCTATGAAGGTGGAGCATATGAGCACATTTCAGGTAGCTGTATTTCAGGATAATCTCTAAATCATTAAATAGATTATTCTAGCACAGTGTCTGGCATATAATAAGCCCTCACTAGAGATTTGTAAATTGAATGAATGAATGGTTCCTAGGACGTTTATACTCTCATATTCTTAATTGATATCACCCATTCACAGAACATTTCTGATTATTCTTGGTCCTTAGAGCCCAAGAAAAGTGACAGGAACAAAAGGAGAGTCCCTAGCCCTAAGGAACCATGCAGACAAAAAAAATAAGTAAATAAAAGAGGAGGGAAAGGAGAGAGACTGAGAAAGGGAAAGAGAAGTAGAGAGAGACTGTTGAAGAGAGGATGCTTTGCATTTGGGACATCCTGCCACCTGTGATGGTAAGTAGGTGGTGGTGCTGGGTTTGGAGCTCTCACAAGGCAGCCAGACAAGCCCCAAGGAACTTCTGAGCCAAGCATCCCAGGTGTGGCTCAATATTGGGTGCACAGATGTGAGAGTTTACAGAACAGCAAGCACATTTATATACAGCAAGCACGTTTATATACAACTCTAAGTATAAAACATATTCCAAACCCAAATAAACCATTTAGATTATCTCCTATTATGACTATTCACCCCATTGCTCTCCTCCAGTTACAGTGTTGATGACATCGTTGTTTTGGACAGATTTACTCCATTTTCTCCCCCGGGTTTTTGTTTGTTTTAAACCCAGTGTGCTGTTCTCCCTTTAATTATAAAATGTTCCAAATACATAATCCAAAAAGTAATATAGCTGATACAAATTTAAAAGCTGCTAATACCACTTTACAGGTCAGGACTGTTTGTACCTGTGCTGTCCAATATGTTAGCCACTAGCCACCTGGGGCTGTTGACCACTTGAAACAGGGCTGATCGAAATTGAGATGTGCTGTAAGCGCAAAATACAGAGCAGATTTCAAAGACTTAGTATGAAAAAAGGTTAAATGTCTCATTAAAAAGTTTTAGGGGCCAGCCCAGTGGCGTAGTGGTTAAGTGCACGTGCTCCACTGCAGCGGCCCGGGGTTCACAGGTTCGGATCCCAGGTACACATGGACCCACCGCTTGTCAGGCCATGTTGTGGCAACGTCCCATATAAAGTGGAGGAAGATGGGCACAGATGTTAGCCCAGGGCCAGTCTTCCTCAGCAAAAAGAGGAGGATTGGTAACAGATGTTACCTCAGGGCTAATCTTCCTCAGCAAAAAGAAAAAAAAAAGTTTTAATATGTTTACATATTAAAATGATAATTTTATATGTTGGATTAAGTAAAATATATTATTAAAATTAATTTCACCTGCTTCTTTTTACTTTTTTAATGTAGCTACTAGAAAATTTTTAATTACGTATATGGCTCACATTATATTTCTATTGGACAGCACTGGTTTAGATTACTGAAGGCTAAGAAAAGGGTCATATCTACATACTGTTCAGATACTGCTTTGGGTATGAGATTCAGGACAGATGGAACGCTTTGGAACAATCGTGTTTTGTGGTGTCCTATTAAATTTCCATTTTCATAACTATTAAAATAACAAAATTATTTGCTATCCCAGACCCCAAAAATATATGATTTAAGTCTAGAGAATTTTCATGATTTTTTAAAAAGACAGGAAACAGAATTTGAAGCAATGTGAGAATTAGGAGGAAAGAGAAGAGCCCCTGGATGTTGATTGGTGGGGAGAGACCCATATTTCCTGTCTATCTAAGACCTAACGTACTTCTAAGGATTTTCCCCACAAAAGCATTCTAAATTCATTCAATCCACAAATTGAGTTAGATCTTGAATGTGAACTTTCCTTTAGCCACATTTTAAAGGAACAGGCAAAGTGAAATAAGTCAGAGGGAGAAGGTCAAATACCGTATGATTTCCTTCATTAAGTAGTAGATAATAACAACAATAAACAAACACATAGGGACAGAGATTGGATTGGTGGTTACCAGAGGGGAAGGGGGGAGGGAGGAGGGTGAAAGGGATAATTTGGTACATGTGTGTGGTGATGGGTTGTAATTAGTATTTTGGTGGTGAACATGATGTAGTCTATGCAGAAATAGAAGTACAATGATGTACACCTGAAATTTTTACAATGTTATAAACCAATGTTACTGCAATAAACAAAAAATTAAAATAAATAAATAAATAAAGGAACAGGCAAAACACTTTCATATAACGACTTATTTTAATTTGCACATTTAATCTATTGATTCCCAACAGTGGCTTCAGTGTTACCTTAACTTGCCATTGTAGATTTTCTGGTCCATTTGTAGCACTAATCAGAGTAATTGCTGTCCGAAGAGGCAGTTCTGTTTTGCTTTGTTTTGTTTTATTTTTTAAAGTTAAATTAACAAATATTCATTGAGACTATATTGCAACAACAGAAAATTTCTATTATTAAAATAGTTTTTCTGAGCCCTTTTTCAATTGGCTAAAATCACTTTGGTAATATTAGTACTTGCTTACAATGCTATCTTTTAATAGCATTATAATTGTGTTTACAATTACAATATTAAATACTCAAAAGAGTTAACTCAGATATTGGTTTCTACATTTATAAATATATTCAGATTAAATAGCAACTTAAATACAATATTCCCAATCTTTTTTTTTTTTTTGTGAGGAAGATCAGCCCTGAGCTAACATCCATGCCAATTCTCCTCTTTTTGCTGAGGAAGACTGGCCCTGGGCTAACATCTGTGCCCATCTTCCTCCACTTTATATGGGATGCCGCCACAGCATGGCCTGACAAGCGGTGCATTGGTGTGCGCCCGGAATCCGAACCCGAGCCACCAGCAGCGGAGCACGCGCACTTAACCGCTACGCCACGGGGCCGGCCCCTCCCATTCTTTTAAAGGCATTGAGGGAGGAAAATACCACTTTTAAAGAATATTTCTTTTTTAAAAAGTAACTGGTTTTTAAAAGAAAAAAACCTCATCTTTTTAGTTGAAATAAAAATTTAAACAGCAAAAAGGAGTATAACATGAAAAGCAATTTTCCTTCTTCCCCAGACCTCAGTCTCCTATCCCTGTCCCCAGAAACAGCCACTATTTACAAGTGTCTCAAGTATCTTTCCAAAAAATAATTTCTCTGTTTGCAAGCATATAAAAATTAATATAAACACATATTAATATGCAAACACATATATAAATATATAATCCCTTAAGCAAAATGTGGCATATTCATACAAAGGATATTATTCAACCCAAAACAGGAATGAGGTACTGATACATGCCACAACATAGATGAACCTTGAACACATTATGCCAAGCAGAAGAAGCCAGACACAAAAGGGCACATATTATATGATTCCATTTAAATGAAATGTCCAGATTAGGCAAATTCATAGAGGCAGAAAGTAAATTGGTGGTTGCCAGAGGCTATGGGGAGTGACTGCTTAATAGGTACAGGGTTTTGTCTTGGGGGTGATAAAAATGTTCTAGAATTAGATAGTGGTGATGGTTGCACAACATTTTTAATATATTAAAAGCCACTGAATCGTATACCTTAAAATGGTTTAAATGATAAATTTTATGTGAATTTTACCTCGATTTTTAAAAATCAAAATATATATAATATTTGTTTATTTATTTTACAAATGAGAGCACATTGTACACTACACTGAACTTTTTATTCTTCCCTTAACAACATAATTTTTTCATTTCTAAAAAGTCAAAATTATCAATCTTTTCTATTATAGCTCCTTGGGTTTTTGTTGTATCTTTTATTATCTCCTTGAACATAGTAAGCATATTTATTTTAAACTCTGAGTCTGATAATGCCATTATCCAAATACTCTATAGGTCTGTTTCCATTGTTTGTTGTTTGCCTCAGTTTTCTTTCATTTTAATATTAATTTTAAAATAATTTAAATATTTTATTTTAATTTAATTTAATACTTATTAAATTATTTTAAAATTAATATATTTAAATTATTTTAATATTTGTTAATATTTGTATTAAGTTCTGGACATTGCATATGAAAACCTGGAGAAATAATTTGAGGCCTATTTTCTTCCAGAGAGGATTTAAATTTTCTTTTGCCAGGTGGCTAGGAGCACTAGCTATGTAGGATGATTTCAATTCAATTTCAGGAATTAGAGGATTCAAAGCTTTGCTTCAATCCCTACAAAGTCAATCTACTTCTAGTTTACTCTTCCTCCTAGGGTATGCCCTTAGGGTCCTAACCTGAGAATAAGAGTTCTGGGGTGATGTCAGAGAAAATAATGGAATAGGTAGCTCCAAGGTCTCATCCCTCCATAGAAACATTGAAAAATCAAGCAAAAAAAAACCTGTTGGAAACAACTTTGTCAGAACTCTGGAAAATAGTCAAAGTTTATAGCAACCAAGCAAAGGCTGAATCAAGAAAAAGACAACTTAAAAATGGCTCCATACAAGCAGGAAGTAAAGGCTAAGACAGATTTGTAAACAGCCTGGCCAAGCAGTGAAGGAGTGTACCAACACAGAGCCAATTGGCAAACACTGGGTTTTTCTTTTTTTTCTTTGTTTCTTTTTTTTAATGGTTCCTAGTGTTCAAGGAAATCTCTGTCAAAACACTAGCTGAACACATGCTAAAGAAACAGAGGCTTCAGAGACCTCACACACAACTAGACCTAACAGACATCTATAGAACACTCCACCCAACAACAGCAGACAACACATTTTTTTACAAGTGCACGTGGAACATTCTCCAGGATGGACCAGATGTTAGGCCACAAAACAAGCCTCAATCAATTTAAAAAGGTCGGAATCATGCAAAGTATCTTCTCTGACCACAATGGAAGGAAACTAGAAATTAATAACGGAAGGAAAACTGGAAAATCATAAATATGTGGAAATTAAATAACACATTCTTAAACAATCAATGGGTCAACGAAATCACAACGGAAATTAGAAAATACTTAGAGATGAACAAAAATGAAATACAATATACCAAAACTTATGGGATGTAGCAAAAGCAATGCTCAGAGAGAAATTTATAGCTGTAAGTGCCTACATTAGGAAAGAAGGAAGATCTCAAATGAAAAGTCTAACTTAACACTAAGGAACAGGAAAAAGAAGAGCAAACTAAATTGAAAGCTAGCAGAAGGAAGAAAATAAGGATTAGAGTGCAGATAAATGAAATAGAGAGTAGAAAAACAAGAGAGAATCAACAAAATCAAACATTGGTTCTTCGAAAGGATCAACAAACTTGACAAACCTTTAGCTAGACTGACCAAGAAAAAGAGAGAAAATGCAAATAACTATAATCAGAAATGAAAGTGGGGACATTACCACTGACCTTAAAGAAATAAAAAGAATTATAAGAGAATATTATGAACAATTGTACACCAACAAATTAGATAACTTAAATAAAATGGTCAAATTCCTAGAAACACACAAATTACCAAAACTGACTCAAGAAGAAATAGAAAATCTGAACAGATCTAGAACAAGTAGAGATTGGATCAGTAATCAAAAACCTCCTAACAAAGAAAAGTCCAAGACCAGACAGCTTCACTGGTGAACTCTATTAAACGTTTAAAGAATTAACACCACTCCTTCCCAAACTCTTCCAAAAAACAGAAGAGGAGCAAAAAATTCCTAACTCATTCTATGAGGCCAGTATTACCCTGATACCAAAGCCAGGTAAAGAAACCACAAGAAAAGAAAATACAGACCAATATCCCTTATGAATAAAATGCAAAAATCATCAACAAAATACCAGCAAACCAAATCCAACAGAATTTTAGAAGAATTATACACCATGACCAAATGGGATTTATTCCAGGAATACAAGGGTGTTCAACATAAGAAAATTAATCAACGTAACATACCACATTAACAGAATGAAGGAAAAAAAAACACACGATCATCTCAATTGATGCAGAAAAACTATTTAACAAAATCCAACACCCTTTCATAATAAAGCCACTCAAAAAACTAAGAATAGAAGGAAACTTCTTCAACATGATAAAGGGCATTTATGAAAAACCCACAACTAACATCAAACTCAATGGTGAAAGACTGAAAGCTTTCCCCCTAAGATCAGGAACAAGACAAGCACGCCCACTCTCATGACTGCTATTCAACATTGCACTGGAAGTTCTAGCCAGAGCAATTAGGCAAGAAAAGGAAATAAAAGGCATCTAAATCAGAAAGGAAGAAGTAAAACTGTCTCTATTCACAGATGACACGATCTTGTATATAGCATATCCCAAAGAATACACACACACACACACACGCAAAACTACTAGAGCTAATAAATGAATTTAGCAAAGTTGCAGAGTAAAAGATCAACCCACAAAAATCAGTTGTGTTTACACCAGCAATGAACAATCCAAAAAAGAATTAAGAAAGCAATTCCTTTTACAATAGCAACCAAAAGAATAAAATACCTAGGAATAAACTTAAAGTAGTGAAAAACTTGTACACTGAAAACTACAAAACAATGCTGAAAGAAATTAAAGAAGACCTAAAAAATGGCAAGACACTCCATGTTCATGGATCGGAAGATTTAATATTGTCAAGATGGCAATACTACTCAAAGCGATCTATAGATTCAATGCAATCCCTACCAAAATCCCAACGGGGTTTTTTGTAGAAATGGAAAAGTCAATCTTCAAATTCATTGCAAGGGACCCCAGATGCCAAGACAATATTGAAAAAGAACAAAGTCGAAGGATTCACACTTCCTGATTTCAAAACTCACTACAAAGCTACAGTAATCAGTACAATGTAGTACTGGCATGTGAACAGACACATACACCAATGAAATAGAACTAGGAGTCTAGAAATAAATGCATACATCTGTGGCCTATTAATTTTTGACAAGGGTACCCAGACCATTCAATGGCGAAAGAAGAGACTCTTCAACAAAAGGTGCTGGGACAACTGCATATCCACATGCAAAGAATGAAGTTGGACCCCTACCTCATACCTTATACAGAAATTAACTGAAAATGGCTCATAGACCTAAATGTAAGAGCTAAAACTATAAAATTCTTAAAAGAAAACATAGGGGTAAATCTTCATGACCTTGGATTTGGCAATGGATTCTTGGATATGATAGCAAGTACACAAGCAACCAAAGAAAAAAATAGATAAATTGGACTTCATCAAAGTTATAAACTTTTGTGAGTCAAAGGACATTATCAAGGAAGTGAAAAGACAACCTACAGAATGGGAGAAAATATTTACAAATCATGTATCTGATAAGGAACTTGTATCTAGAATATACAAGAACTCTTACAACTCAATAATAAAAAGATGAATAACCTGATTTTAAATGGGCAAAGGATCTGAAAAGATACTTCTCCAAAGAATGTGTACAAATGGCCAGCAAACGTGAAAAGATGCTCAACATCTTTAGTCATTAGGGAAATGCAAATCAAAACCACAATGAGATACCACTTCACACACAACTAGGATGGCTATAATAAAAATAAAATCAAAAAAATAAAAACAACAGAAAATAACAAGTGTTGGCAAAAAATGTGGAAAAATTGGAACCCTCAATGCATTGCTGGTGGGAATGTAAAATGGTGCAGCCACTGTGGAAAACAACTTAGCAGTTCCTCAAAAAGTTAAACATAGAGTTACCATACGACCCAGCAATTCCACTACTAGGTATATACTCAAGAAAATTAAAAACATATGCTCATACAAAGACTTGCACATGAATGTTCATAGCAGCACTGTTCATAATAGCCAAAAGGTAGAAAAAAATCCAAAAGTCCATCCACTGATGAATAGATAAACAAAATGTGGTATATCCATATAATGGAATACTAGTCAGCCATAAAAATAAAAAAGTAATGAAACATGCTATGACATGAATGAACCTTAAAAACATTATGCTAAAGGAAAGAAGCCAGACACAAAAGGTCACATGTTATATGATTTCATTTGTATGAAATACCCAGAATAGACAAATCCATAGACACAGAAAATGAACTAGTGGTTGCCAGGGGTAGAGGAGGAAGGAATGGTAATGGGTATGGCACTTCTTTTTGGGGTGATGAAAATGTTCTAGAATTAGATATTGGTGATGGTTGCAAAATCTTGTGAATGTAGTAAAAACCACTGAATTGTACACTTTAAAATGGTGAATTTTATGGTATGTGAATTATATCTCAGAACCAGAAAAAGAAAAAGGAAATGCTGTAAGCCTATAGATAGAGAGGAGGTTTCTATGCACCTGAGGAGACTTCTGTTTAAGTTTTCACTTAACGTGAAGCTTTTTGCCAAGGGAATGCATTTCTGCTGTAGCGTTTTCAGTCCTTCATCTAACCGATAGTCATTGAGCACGCATTATGTACAAGAATCAGGGCAGTATCTGCTTCTACTTGCCTGTTGTTGCTTGAAGGCCTCAATAAGTAAATCAATATCAGTAAAAGTGAGAGGAAATTGCAGTCGAGGACCACTATAGGAGTCTGGGATGTCTATCAACCCCAGATAGTCCTGTCTATCCTTGTCATCCTGGCCGGTGGTACCAAAAAGTCGAGTTACAAATTCTGGAAAAGGAAAGACAGAAAGGGAGAAAAAATCAACATGCCCATAATTAAATGAAATAAATACCTCTTGAATACCTAGCCCATATAAGGCACTGTGCTAAATGTTATGAATACCAAGGTATCCCACATATAACCATAAGGAATGACTTATTCTGAGATCAGTAGGTACCTCCACATGAATCACCATAGTCCCTTCCTGGGTGCTTTTACCAAAGCAATGAGTTCATCAGTGGGGAGGGGAGGGAGAAACACAGGGAAAACTGGTCAATCAAAATATTTCGGTGCTCTGAAGCTCTAACTGTACATTTTTTGCCCACTCTTATATCTCAGATTTTTACAAATAGGGCTGAAAACATAACAGTGCATTGAATTTGGTTCAAACAGCTGTTCCTATTCAGGATCTATAGAAAATTAAACTGCAACATTCAATTTTTCCCCTTTGAAACACTTCAAATTTTACTTAGCTGTAATTGATTTGTTTTTCTCATCACATAAAAACAAATTTTCTGACACGATTTTCCTTTAACAAAGCAGATAAAGTTAGATGACAAGCCATAGGCAGAAATACTAAAGGGCCTCTCCCTCAGAGAGACATTTCTATATAACAGATTGCCTGCACTGCCTATTCCAGTAGGTGCTGAGAGCCAGGGGCCCTTTCTTGCTAGATTGGCTATGAAACAGTCAGCCCAGGAACAGAAATCTGGTCAAGTCAGGTGGAGAAAGATAAAGGGGGATATGGAAGGTTGGTTGCAAAAGTGACCCCAATTCTCAATCTCAACCTCTAGCCGTGCTTTTTTTTTTTTTTTGAGGAAGATCAGCCCTGAGCTAACATCCGTGCCAATCCTCCTCTTTTTGCTGAGGAAGACTGGCCCTAAGCTAACATCTATTGCCAATCCTCCTCCTTTTTTCCCCCAAAACCCAGTGGATAGTTGCATGTCATAGTTGCACATCCTTCTAGTTGCTGTATGTGGGACGCGGCCTCAGCATGGACGGACAAGCGGTGTGTCGGTGCGTGCCCGGGATCTGAACCCGGGCCGCCAGCAGCAGAGCGCACGCACTTAACCGCTATGCCACGGGGCCAGCCCCTAGCCGTGCACTTTTTTTTTTTAATTTTTTGTTTATTGCAGTAAGATTGGTGTATAGCATTGTATAAATTTCAGGTGTACATCATTATACTTCTATTTCTGCATAGATTACATCATGTTCACCACCCAAATACTAATTACAACCCATCACCACACACATGTGCCGAATTATCCCTTTCGCCCTCCTCCCTCCCCCCTTCCCCTCTGGTAACCACCAATCCAATCTCGGTCTCTATGTGTTTGTTTATTGTTGTTATTATCTACTACTTAATGAAGGAAATCATACGGTATTTGACCTCCTCCTCTGACTTATTTCACTTTGCATAATACCCTCAATGTCCATCCATGTTGTCACAAATGGCTGGATTTCATCGTTTCTTATGGCTGAGTAGTAGTCCATTGTGTATATATACCACAGCTTCTTTATCCATTAGTCCCTTGATGGGCACTTAGGTTGCTTCCAAGTCTTGGCTATTGTGAATAACACTGCAATGAACACAGGGGTGCGTGTATCTTTACGCATTGGTGTTTTCAAGTTCTAACAACCCAATTAAAAAATGGGCAAAAGACCTGAACAGACATTTCTCCAAAGAAGATATACAGATGGCCAAAAGACACATGAAAAGATGTTCAAAATCATTAACTATCAGGGAAATGCAAATCAAAACTACAATGAGATATCACCTCATGCCCTTCAGAATGGCTATAATTAACAAGACAGGAAACAACATGTGTTGGAGAGACTGTGGAGAGAAGGGAACTCTCATACACTGCTGGTGGGAGTGCAAACTGGTGCAGCCACTATGGAAACCAGTTTGGAGATTCCTCAAAAAATCAAGGATAGAACTACCATATGATCCAGCTATTCCCCTGCTGGGTATTTATCCAAAGCCGGACGCTTTTTAATGTGATTTTGCAGCTACTCTCATCAAGGGTTTATTTCCCCAGCCCTTGAAGCTGTGTTGGATTCGTGGCTTGTGTTGGCCTAAAGAATGTGGTAGAAGTCCTACATACCAGTTCCAAGCCAAGGCCTCAGGAGGCCTTATATGTTTCCATGCTTTCTCTTTCAAAACTGTGCCACTGCCACGAAGCCCAGGCTAGCCTACTGAAAGCTCCAAGACCATGGGGAGCAGAGCTGAGTCACCCTAGCCAAGGCTGTCCTAGATCAGCCACCAGCCAGCAGACCTCCAGACACATGAGTGAACGCCAGCCAAGATCCAAAAAACTGCCAAATCAAGCCTGCCAAGATCAGCAGAAGTGCTAGCTAATCTGTAGACTTGTGAGCAAAAAGAATGGATGACATAGCCTTCAATTCATTAACACTGAATTGCTACTAAGCTCATTAATCAGAAGGTCCTGCAAGCAGTTTCTATCTTTTTGAATATTTAGAGAGGACATGTTTGGAAGGAATGATGCTAGCAGATGTAGACAGAATACATTTTTTTCATGATCCAGTTATGCTGAGAGATTCCAGTTAAGAACTAAACTTGAACAATTTTTCTAAAGTAAGTCATAATATTTGGTAACAAAAATGCTTTCTAAATTATTGTGCACCCCAATTGTTTTTGGTGGTGGTTGATGATGTTTTATGAGAAGTTAAATTTAGGAGTAATAATGTCTGTCTTCAATGTGGTCCAGCAGAGGTTATTGTTCTCATTTGGATTTGATTTGAGATTTGAGAATAACTTAATTATTTCATTTTATGTTTGAAAACTAGAAATGCAGAGCATCTTGGTAAATTTTACCTCAGATTCATTATGTAGGCAGTAAAGCCTAAATACTCTACTTAACTATCTTAATGATCATGCCACTGATTTTTACTTGGTAGTCATTCTTAGAGATGCATCTTGCTCCAAAGGAAAATTTTCCATTTCCTAACTCTACACACTGAAATATCAGGCTCCTCTTGTGAAAACAACAACAACAAAAATAAAAACAACCCCAGCAGTTTCACTATATCATTTTAAAACGGACTTGGGTAATCCCAACTGTGTGAGGTATAAACAAGAAATCATTTTCTTTTCCTAATCATTGCCTTTACCCATGCTCTGTCAACTCTCCCTTTCTCATCAGCTAACTGAGACATCAAGTCAATTCCATCAGTTCTGGTTATTAAGACTCAGTCTTCTTGTTTAAAAATAAAATAAAAATATTGTTGTTATTTAAAAAAAAAGCTCAATCTGGTCCTTCCTTTCATACATTTGATGACCCTCATTTCTTACAAGTTCAGTGATAAATATATGAAAAAGCACAATTTCCCTAAACCAATTCTTAAATCAAAACTAGTCAGTACGAAATCTCAGTAAACATCAAATCATAATCCTTCTGCTGGTTTTTAGCCACATAAAAAAGAATAATATAGATTCTCTTCCTAACGTGGGTCATGTATAAAAACTATCAAAAGCTTTAACATTCCAAATGCAAGTACTGTCCTTGTGGGCTATAACTATTATAATAATAACAATTTAATGAATGCCAACAATATATGAAGATTTGTGCAACACGTAATTAGCACTAATCCTTACCTATTTGATTTACAATTCTGTCAACATGAATCTAAACTAATTAAATATAATAAAATCTTGAATTATAACCAAATGATACCTTTACAAGTTGTTCTAAAGAAAATACCTCAAAAATACCCCCTACACACAATCTTTTCTTTTACCCAGTACAGACTCGAAATCTGGACAGGGAAAAATTTAAAGCCCATAATTTTTTTAAAAAAACAATTTCTGCCTCTACCGCCCACATGTCACTTAGAAAACAAGCTCCAGATACTGCTGGAAAAAGAAAAACATCATTTGAACCGCATTTATAGTTATTTCATTTCTCAATTATGAATCTGGATTAAAACCATGAGTGTCCATATAATAAACTCAATGGATGCCAAAATGACATTTCATAAATTTCAACACCTGTTCCTGATTTTTGAAAAACTCAGAAAACTAGGAATGGAAGGATACCTCCTTAACATAATTTTTAAAATTTAAATAAACAATAATGGTCTTTCCATTAAATTGTTAACAAAACAAGGATGCCTACTTTCACTGTTTCATTGTAACATTGTTCTGCTATCTCCAACCAATGGAATAAAATACGAAGCCGAAATAAGAGCAGTAACTATTGGATAGAAAGATATAAAAATAGTTACTTGTGGCCAGTGTGATTAAATATCTACACTCAAGAAACTCAATTGGAAGACTCCTGGAATTGAGAGGAGAATTAAAATAATACAGAGGTTAATCACACTGGTTTGAATCACAGCTTCACCACTGATGAGATGAATAAGCCTTAGTATTCTTAGCCACAAAAAGGGGATGATACTAATGCTAGTCTCACTGGTTTGTCATGAAGACTAAACGAAATGATGTGTTTAAAGCACTTAAAGATATGGCACATGGAAAACATTTAATACATATCAGCAGTAACAATAATAATAATTTCATTAATGTTATTATTCTATAGTAGCACAATACAAAATAAATAGATATAAATCAAAAGCTTTACTAAATACTACCAATAATCATCGGGGAGATATAATGGGGAAAAGATCCTATTCACCATAGCAACAAAAAATATAAAGTACCTGGTCTGATAGGATATTTTGGCTGATCTGGGAAGCAGAAAGAAAAGTCAAAACAACACTTCCACACCCTCCATCCCACTCCCCACTTCCACCAGTCTCAGTTTAAACCTCCTGCTACATATAGCAGCTTTGGCTTTCTACCTGTGGGAAGAGGCTGATGTGAAAAAGCAGACTGGGGAATGGATATGTGGAGTGTCCCCATCAAGTCCTATGAACTGGTTTTGAGCAATTTAAGTAGTAGGACATGAAGATGAACTGCTTCCAGGTCACCTCTCACCTTTGGAACACTCAGAATGTCTTGACATACTCTGTGCCTCAGAGTTAAAACCATTAATCTGCCCCTGATATCTGGAAATGTTAAGTGACCTTCTGGTCCCTAAATACTCCCTGCTTAGGGGTCACAGCACTTCTGCCAAACAGGCCGAGGTGGAGGTTGTCTGGAAATTTCCCACCAAACAGAGTCATCAGAAAGCAACCTACAGTAATGTATAGCATGGTGACTCTAGTTAACAATACTGGTGACTCTAGTTAACAATACTCTATTGCATATTCGAAAGTTGCTAAGAGAGTATATTTTAAAAGTTCTCACCACCAAAAAAAAAATGTAACTACGTGAGATGATTGATGCATTAACTAACCTTATTGTGGTGATCATTTTACAATATATACATATATGAAATCATTACATTGTACACCTTAAACTTACACAATGCTATATGTCAATTATATTTCAATATAATTTGGAAATTATAAAGCTGGAAAAAATTTAAAATTGGACTCAACTTACAGCAATAATCTGTAAATATCTTTTTCTTCTACATACAATAATTAAATCAGTATGGTTCTAGGACTCTATAATAGAAAGATGTATAAGAGAATAGAGAGCCTGGAAATATGCCCTATTACACATTTTTAAATAAATATATTAAAAAGAATACACTACAAATCACGGTGAAAAAATACATCATCAAATAAATGTGGGAAAAACTGGTTAACTACTTGGAAATTTTCTTTGTGGTCATGTTTTTTAATTGTTCTCAACCACTAGTCATCAAAAATTTTTCTTTTACTTTAATATAAAAAATCCAAAATTTATGAAGTGTTCAAATTTTTAAAAGTCAAATCAAACAGAAAATCTAGAAATACAGGCAATCCACATTTTAAATATTTCAGGACCTTCGAAGTTTAAAAGCAGAATTCACAAAAGAGAAGATATTTAGACTTGAAAAGGAAGATATTTTAAATAATTAATGGATGAAAACTTTCTAAGCCTGATGAAAACTACCAACTTAGATATCACAGAAGCTCAGCAAACCCCACTCAGGATAAATAAAAACAAAACCTCATCAAGGCACATTATGGTTAGCATGCTATTTTCCACTGTTACTTAGATTAGTTTGTTTCTTCCCCCACCTCCTTCAGGTGATTATGTTATTCATTTGTAAAACAGTTAGGTTCATTTGTCACAGTGTGTATTCCATTTTGGAATCACACACACACACACACACACACACACACACACACACACACGCATGCACTCTTCCTGTTTTTAATTAATTATTTTTTTTTAGGAATGTGAAACATTATCGTGGTTCTAAGAGACTGAACTAAAAAAAGGTAAACTCAGAGAAGTGTCACTATCCTCTCAGCCCTTCTACTCAATCCCCATTCTCCCATTCTTTCTGCTCTGCTCCCACCCTTCCCCCCATTCCCTGTAGGTAACAATGTCATTAGTGTCTGGTTTCTCCTGTACGCTTCTCCTGTATTTATTTTTGCACAATGAGTATGTGTGTATATATACACACATATATATACACACACACACTCATATCAGGCAAAAACTTCTTAAATAGGATACAGAAAGCACTAACCATAAAGGAAAAAAATTGTAATACATTAAAATTAAGAATGTTTGTTCATCAAAAGACACCATTTAAAGATTGAGGGGATAAAAGCCAAAGACTAGGAGAAGATATTTACAATACGTTTATCTAACAAAGATTTGTATTCTCACATTTAGAATATTTAGAGAACTCTTACAAATTGGTAAGAAAAAGGCAGATAACCCAATAGAAAGATGGCAAAAGACCTGAACAGGCACTTCATCAAATGGGGTATCCACATGGCCAATAAACGTACAAAAGGGTGAAGGGGACAACAGAAGGGCTTCTGTAGCTCTGATAATGTTTTCTTTTTTGTTCTGTGTGCAGGTTACAAGGGTGTGTTTGAGAAAATTTATTGAGTCATATGCATATGATTCGTGTACTTTTCTGTAATGTATCTTATGCTTTGAGAAAAGTTTACATAAGAAGATTAAACCACTATCCCCTTATTTGATAAAAATATTGTTTTATATTTTTAAATCACCTGCAGAATTTTTTAAATGCAGAATTTTAAAAATACAGAGCCTGAGTATATATCTCTGGGCTGGAACCCAGCCATCTGTGGCTATGAATCTCCATAAGTGATTCTGATGCACAGCCTGGAATGAAATATTAGGTTACTAGCAGAAAGAGTGCTGTTTCATTTCATCATTATTATATTTCCTCTCAGAAATATTTTTGCCAAAGAACATGAAGCACAAACAACTGTCTTCAAATTGCAATTATCTAAAAGACAGAAAATGGCAAAATACCCGCTTCCACCCACTCCCCACTCCTCAGGTTTGGCTATTCCACCATTCAGAAAGCTTCTACAGATGATTAAACGCTTTAATTAGTTTCATACATATGTGCTTAGTTCAAAGCATGCCATTAAAACACCACTCGTTGGCCACTTTGAAGGGTGCTTACTAGATTATTTAAAAGATCCTCTTAGATGCCATACATGTTTTTAATTAGAGCAAAAAATGGTTGGCCCAAATTTTAAAAAATGAGTTTTTAAGTCTAGCATTTACCTTGAAGACAATAGGCAGATCTTAATTTGTAGGAGAAATATATGCCTTGTGAATAACTATAATTTTAAAATAATTTTTGACCCACACCTATATTGCCTGTCTCTGAAATTACTTATTTAGTCATTTAGAATGACTAAATAAATGATAGACAGACAGACAGACAGATAGCTATGCAAAAAACAGAGACATGGTGGGGCCAGCTGTGTTTAATCCACCATTTCCTCACAGATCTATTTCATGAAACACTCAAGATATTTTGATCTCTAAGCACAAAAGTTTTGTGGATAAAAAATAAGATCCTCTTTACTAAGCTACTATTGTACAATGGCTTGTCGTTCAGAGAAAGTAGTCAACAAATTAATGTTGAATGAAATCTACTTCAGTTTTCAGAAAGTGAAAAAATTAAATGGTCACTTTAGTCCACACCAATCAGAGAGAGAAAAAGCCAGCTGAACTGATCTCACCAGTTGTTTGGTGTCACATAGACAAGACAGGTGGGCATTTTTTAAATTTCTTAGTGTTTTCCCATCTTCAGAGTTTACATCCCTTGATGAGGACAATTTAATATTTAATAACTGCTTTTCAAAAGACTGAACTTTTTACTTACCTGGATCTTTCTCATATACATGTGTGTAGTTTTCCAACATGAAGGAAAAGAAATTGGATAGCTGGACAAAATAAAAATACATTAATCAATTAATGAACTCCAAATAACTGCTGTGGCAAACACTGTTGGTGTTCCCGCAAGTCCCCTTTGCTCTTCTGGGGCATCTCCCAGCTGCCACACGTGCTAACGAGTCCCACCTCTACCTACCCCCTCCTCCCAAGGCTTGCCCTTGGCAGATGGGCAGCACCTCCCCCAGAGTTGCATAGGATATCATATATCCCCCTTCTGGGGGGCTGCCCATAGAAAATGACTGACTGAAGCAAGAGTATTACAGGCCAGCCCCCCACCTCCCTTGCCACTGGGTGGGACAAACTCCGACACATTTCACACTTCAGAGCTCCCAATGGGATCAGGCTGAGGTCAAACTTCTCCAGAAACCATATTTTTGCCTAGCTTCTTCCCTTGTCCTATCTTGCTTTCCTCACTCCCTTACAGGTTTTTCTTGAGAACACTCTTCAGGAAATTACTTGTACCAGAATCCCTGTCTCAGATTCTACTTTTAGGAAACCTACCTAAGACAGCTACTAGATTTTGTTCATTATGATCTCTTCCTTTTGGTGGTGAGATTAAGAGTTAACGGACGCTCTTAAATGTCAAATATATTTGGGAAATGAAGGAAGGGAGGGAGGGAGGAAGGGACGAAGGAGGGAGGAAGGGAGAGATGGGAATTCACCAGCATTCCAACCATCACCTAGATGCTGCCTCCATGCCTATAATTTTAATGCTGTTGATGGGTTTGTCAATTAAGAGTCAATAGAAACCACAATGAGATATCACTTCATAAATACTAGGATGGCTATAATCAAAAAGACAGGTAATAACAAGAGTTGACAAGATGTGGCAAAATTGGAGCCCTCATACACTGCTGGTGGGAATGTAAAATGGTACATCTGCTTTGGAAAACAGTTTAGCAATTACTCAAAAAGTTAAACACAGAGTTACCAGATGACCCAGCAATTCCATTCCTAGTTATACACCCAAGAGAACTGAAAACATATGTTCACACAAAAACTTGCACACAAATATTCATAGCAGCATTATTCATAATAGCCCAAAAAAGTGGAAACAATCCAAATGATCTATCCACTGAGGAATGGATAAATAAAATGTGCTATATCCATACAATGGAATATTATTCAGCAATAAAAAGGAATGAAGTACTGATACATGCCACAACATGGATGATCCTTGAAGACATTATGCTAAGTGAAAAAAGCCAGTCACAAAGGATCATATATTGCATGATTCCATTTATATGAAATGGCCAGAAAAGGCAAACCCATAAAGACAGAAAATAGACTAGTGGTTGCCAGGGGCTAGGCGGAGGGGGGAATGGGGAGTGACTGCTAATGAGTATAGAGTTTTTTGGGGGGGTGATGAAAATGTTGTAAAATTTATTGTGGTGATGGTTGCACAACTTTGTGACTATACTAAAGGCCATTGAATTTTACACTTTAAGTGGGTGAATTGTATCTCAATAAATTGCTTACAAAAAAAGAGTCAATATTAAAGAATGTACTAATGCTGGAATGTTTGTGCATAAAGCATCTCAATTTGGGAGCTCACCCTACCTTTATATTCATCACTATATCCTACAGTGCTTAAAAGTACAGCCAACGCCTTGAGCTCTTAATCAGAGCACAGGGAGTACCTGACTGAATCATAGTATATCATTTTACAGCTGTCAAGAATAAATCCAGCAATTTCTTTTTGAAATTTTATTAATTATTTTTTAAAGATTATGTGATAAATAAATTTATAGATAAATATAGGATTGTTGAAAACTACAAATGATACAGAACGAAAATGAGAAGTCCTCTCCCACCCATTCTCACCCACCAATACCACTTCTGTCTCTAGAAAGAACCACTGTAAACACTTTACTGTATATCTTTTTCCAGGCTTTTGCTGTACGTTTAATTTTCTTTCACATATATGGGATAAAACTCTACATATTGTTCTACAAGTTGATTTTTTTCATTAACAATTATATTGGAGATCTTTCCAAGATCTTTTTATAGTTAAAAAGTACTTTTTTTTCCTACTAATAAGCATTAAAGCTGGATTTATATATTGTTTTTGCAAGCTTGAAAAAGGCCTTCCTCGCCCATCTATATTTTCTTCTAGAACTTTCATAGGTTTGTCCCCAGGAAATTCTTCCATTTTTTAACTCTGTAAAGTATTTTTTCCTTCATAAAGTAACAACTTTACTTCCTATTGAGGCACATACCCAAAAATAAAATACGACCATTTTTCATTAGTTAACTAGGCATCTGGCAGCCCTCTTAAAAATGTGAACTTCAGAATTGAAAAATACCATCCAAATCATATCTCTTTCAACAGCTAGTTTCAAGACAACATCACTACATCCTCTATTAAAGCCTTTCACCAAGGTTCCTCAGCTTAAAATGGACCCAATCTATCATTCTTTCAATAACAAGGGGGGAAGAGAAGCATTTTAACAAAAGAAGAGACAAGCTTGCAAAACAGACCTGCAATTGGCCTTGTTCATCAGCATATTCGATGGACTGGAAGATGCTGAGGGCATAGCGTTGTCTGGCCTTCAGTCGAGCACTGTAACCTCGGTACCAGTTCTGGATGACCAAAGCGGCTTTCAGCACTGCAGACCCACAGAATATGAAAGTCAGAGAAAAAACAGTTACTAAGTAGCTATGGGTGGGAAGTAAGTGCTTCAGGAAAAAATCAGGCCCCCTGGATTCCTTAGGTTCTAAGAACATAAAAACTACAAACAATGAGTTTTATCTTTATGTTTTTGTAAAATGTCCTCAAGTTTCAAATACTCAGAGAATAAAGATGGCATCCATTAAGCAGAGAATTTTTGGAGCAAGACTGCCTGAATTTGAATAGCAGCTCTGCTAATTACTGTCTGTGTGAGTTTGGGTGAATTATTAAAACTCTCAAAGCCTCAGTTTCCTCCTCTGTAAAATGGGGATAATAATAGCACCTACCTCTGGCACTACTTAGGCATATGAAGTCTATGAAATAGCAATTCAATTCTTTACTAAATACCCTAAAGCAATTCTCACAGTCTGTAAAGGAGACATATGGGATACAATGCTTCCTTGTTTGTGGTGGTAGGGATTTGGACACCCAGGCAGTCTGGCTGTCCATTGCTGGGAAGGAGAATGCATAACAGTGGTGGGTGTAAACTACGGAATATTATGCCACAACTGGAAGCAATAGATTAAATGAACCCATAGCAACATGGATGGATGTTAAAAACACAGTGCTTCAGTTTGAACAGTTATTAAAAAGTTAGAATGAAATATAACATGATACCATTTTATATAAATTTAAAATACATATACACAAAACCACAATATACATTTCATACGACTATATACAAAGGAAAAGATACACACTAAACATAATAGATTGGTTATTTATGGGGGAGGGGACAAATGAGTGTAGGGTACATGGATAAAAGAGAATAAGCAAATTAACCTACTAACATAGGAAAGGGTCTTGCACAGACCAATGATGGCATTGTACAACGAATTAAAAAGTATGATTCACTCCTCCTTCTGCATCTGAGATTCAACTGATAAAAGACAGATGGATAAATGAGCACATCTCCCTCCTTCATAGAGTTACTATAAGGATGAAACAAGATACTACAGGTGAAGAGTTTAGCCCAATGCCTGGCGTAAAGCATACGCTAGGGCCGGCCTGGTGGCGTAGTGGTGAAGTTCATGCACTCCGCCTCGGTGGCCCGGGTTTGCAGGTTCAGATCCTGGATGCAGACCTGCACACCACTCATCAAGCCATGCTGTGGTGGCATCCCATATATAAAATAGAGGAAGACGGGCACAGATGTTAGCTCAGGGCTAATCTTCCTCAGCAAAACAAAAAAAAAAATTAAAAAAAAAATAATAAAGCACATGCTAAATAAATGGCAACCATAGTGATAAGTATTGTCTTGTTTGTGGATTATTCAGGCCCACTGACTCTCTTCCGGGGCTGGTAGCCTTCAAACCATCCTGTAGTTTCATAGTATTGAAGAAAGAGATTGGGTGAGAGATAATGAGATTTAAACTATAGCCTCTTATGCTTTCCTCAAGCTTTAGAGTGAAGAGCAAGCAACACCAGGGTCCTTTTATTCATACTATACTTTTTCCCAGTTAGCACATAAAAATTAAGAGTTGCCTATAACAGGAACAAGTTGACTTCTGAAAATGGGAATCCAGCCTCCAGTCCCAGCATCCTTGGTTTAGTACTACTGTGGTCCACTGAGTATATACCAGTCATCTGAGAGTGTTTATTTATGAGGTTTTTCAAGGCTCTCAGGTTCCAGAGACTCTTTTTTCACTATTCAGCTTCCAGAAAACCCCAGGAAATAGACTTAAGGTCAAGTATCACGATCTTTATAGGGAAAAACCACAGGGAGAAGAAAGAGTGACTTGCTCAATATTGCAAAGCAAACAGTTGGTAGCACCATAGCTGAAATCTCAAGTGTTCTCTCCATATCATTGTGGAGAGCCCAAGCTCATGTGACAGGCCTGTTCTGTGGGACAGTCACTGTCATGACCAACCAACCCTAACTTCAAGGGCTCTCTGTTCACCAAGCTAGAACTGGTCCAGTGCTATTTACTGAGCACTTCCTGAGGGTCAGGCAATGGAATCATTTCTGCAGTCCGTGCCACATTGTGAAGCTAAGAGAGACTAACTTACTTAAGGTCATTTAGCTAGTAAGTATAAATGGACATCAAGGAATTGAACTCAGGTCTCATTGACCTCACAGCCCAAGCTCTTAACCTCTACAGTGCTATAGACCTTTTTCTGTGCCTCAGTTTCTTCATCTGCACAGTGATGTAGTAGAATAAATGATCACTAAAGTCTCTTCTATTTAGTATTAGCAACACCAATAATAAATAATCAAGCGTATTATTATTTCTATAATTATTAATAGAACAAAATAGCTATCATATGTTAAGGGTCTATTATAAGACATTTAGTCCCCACAAGTATTATCATACCCATGTTACACATAAGGAAACTTTGGGTTCAGAGAGGCAAGCATCTTGCTCAGAGTCACTTACCTAGTATGAACTCAGGTCTTCTGAGTCCAAAGTCTGGGCTCTCTCCACTATAGCCAGTTACTTCATTCCCTGATCTATTTGTACCTTTCCTTCCGCTGAATAATAATAGTCACCATTTATTGAATGTCTACTATGTGCCTGGCACTAAGCTAGACAGTAACATATTCTACTACTTCTACTCCTTCCCCACAAGGGGAAAGAGGCAATCTAAGGCCCCTCTCCTGTCTCTGCCTTGTTTCTGTCCCCACTCCCCAGGGGAGGAGTTACTATTTTGTTTGGTAAGCACACAACACATTCATGGGCTATATTTTACTAGTGAGTGTGGGTAACTGTACCTTGGAAGGTAGACAGCCACGCTTAGCTCCCTGGCTCTTGCGCTTCTTCCACTCCAAAGTCAGGAGGCTGAGCCGCCTCCCTTCCATCCCCCTGCTGGGAATCCACCATCTCTGTCTATGCTTGCACTCCTTTACCTGAGTCCCTAGCCCGAGCATGAATGCCACTTACTAAGCTATCACGTGTCAGCTCTCACCCCATGCTTCTCTAGTAGCTTGCTGATGCTGAGGCTGGGATTCTGCAGGCCACATTTCTGCTTTGCCCATTGCTCCCTGTTTGGCTCTGCCAACAGGGGCGGTAGAGGGAGACGGCAAGGCTGGAGGAGGGACAACGGACACGGCACACATTCCTACCTGCCTCCTGTTCCTGTTAGTGTAACCTAGCAACTACTCTTCACCTCCACAGCAGTTTCTCCTTGTAGCAGCAACTGGATCCAGTTTGCAATTTACCCAGCACTTGCAAAACCAGCCTCATGGCAGCCTCTCAGCGATACCAGCACCAGCTGACCAGCCCCCCTTCTCAAAGGTCTGAGTATCAGTTCTACGGTACCCTCTCCTCCAAGTTTCTAAATTTAAATAATTCCAATCATTCCTCTTTGTCCTCTCAGCCCTAGAGGTGCAGTTACTACCTCAATATACCCTCGAGCTCTCTTTCAGGGACCCTTTCAGCCACCTAGTAACAACTTGATACCTAGCTGGCAGTTCTTTACATTCAGTTCTCTCTGTTCAAATCACTCTGTGGTTTCTGCTTCCTGACTAGATCCTGCCTGATGAGCTAGTCCTGTGGGCGTGGGAAAAGTAGGCCCAGCTTAGGCGTCAAGCCTCCAACTTCCCGGGCACTCTGGCTCAGGCCTTTACTAGAGTTCTACATTGGGATTTGGAGTACTTGGGCAGTGGCTGATAAAATGAACTCTGATCTACATCCTACCATTGCTCCTTGGGCATACAGTTCCCGCAGCACCCTCTCCAGGAGAGGGAAGGAGCCTGGCAGGGCAGAGTTGGGGGACCAACGTCAGACCTCTAAAACCTCAAGTGATTCCTAAGAGCCCACCCACTCACTGCAGGGCCCCTCTAGCCAGCTGAGGACCCTCCTCTGGAGGAGAAACCTCCAAAATGGCAAAGGGTAGAGCCCAGATATGATAGAGAGTCTACTCGAGGGGGTCGCTGGCTCCACAATCCCCAACCCTGCCTGTAGAGTTGAAGACTGTGTCGTCCAGTTTTGAATTTGTTAGACAGCTTCGATTCACTTCTGGTCCTGCTGCTTCACTGTATAACAAGGCTTGTCTTCCCTGTCACGTTAATTCCATACAGGAAAAAAACAAAAATAAAAGCTATTGCCATATGTGTCCCAAAGGCCTTCTATTTTTGTTTCTAGAAGGAAGCAACAGCATAGGTTTAATAAGCTACCTGGCCAATTTTCTGTGCCCAGTACAGGTGGTTTCTCTATTGCCAAACCAGGATTTGTTTGTTTTTTAATGGATTCTTTTCTCTAGTGGCAATCATTATCATGGTATTTGGTAAGAAATTAAATATTCATATAGGGGGTCACTGCGCAAAACAAATAATAAATTCAGAGCATTTGCTTGGTGCCAGGCACTGTGCTTGGTGCTTTATGTGGATCATTTTGTTTTATTTGATGTGATTTAATCCTCCCAACTATCCTTTATAGTGTCATTCTCCTCATTTTACAGATAAGGAAACTGAGGCTCAAAAACAACCTGTTTTGGGTCACATCACTTGTCAGTAGGAGAACGTAGAGTCAAACCCAGATCTCTGTAATTCCAGAACTTGGGCTCATAACCATTATGTTATACAGCCTAGCGTGGCATTTGGAATCAGCCATAAAAAATGAGACAGTGTGCAGAATAGTCTTTCCCTCCCATGTCTTCCCCATCTCACGTTCCCCATACTCTTAGCCTGTTCTAATGTTTTCCATGGCACTTTTTACCATCCGACATTCCACGTGGTCATATGTTTGTGTGTTTATTGTCTATCTCCCCCTGTTAGCTAAGCTACATGAGAATAGGGACTTTATCTTGTTCACTGCTCTATCCCCAGCACTTAGGGCAAGGCCTGGCAATGGAGATTTGCTGAATGAATGAATGAATACCTTCTGGGGCTGCTGTAATAATACATAATAATGTATTAGCAATGTGTTGATATAGGTATTAGTAATATATTAATGAATTGATTAATATAAAATGCTTAGCACATTGCCTGGCATATAG